ATTTATTGAAATTTTAAGTAATTTTTATGAGCTAGGGTAAATATTAAAAATGAAAAATTAAATATAGAATTTTTTTTGAAAAAAGTAAGATAATTATGTGACATTGAAAACAAGTAATAATAAAAGAAATATAATTATAATTTTATTTTTATAACATTACATTTCATACGAAAATATATTATTTTTGAAAATTTCTTACATTAGCAAGTCAGTCATGCCGGATTCGGTCAGGTTTGACCTATTATTAGCGGGTCATTTCGAGTGTATAATAGCGGGTCATTTCGAGTGTGGCCAACTTCGAATTCGGTCAATAAAAATTTTGTTCAAAACCCAATATTTTTGAGTTAAATCTCGGCTCAAAATAGGTCAGATCATTTTTTGTCAAGTTTAACATTTATGAATATAAGAATATACTCCGTATATGACTTATAATCTCTCTCTCCCTCTCAGAAACAAATCTTAACTATATGAGTATTTTTAACACCTAGGGTGTATTTTACATGGTACTCTCTCATACTTTGGTACCTACTATTACTCTCTCTCTCATATACCCGCTCAGTCCTGAAATTATCTTCCGAAAATGACTTGACATGATTTTTAATAAAGAAAGGAGAATTAATATGAATCACATACAGAGTATTTGTTTGCTTAAAAGAAAAGAAGAATAAAGTTTTGGGACAACCCAAACAAAAAGAAAGAAGATAACTATGGGACTTAGGGAGTTTCTTTTGAAAAAGTGCGGCGTGTATTAAATAAGGTGGGAAAAATGTAATAAATAAAGTAAATGAGTGTAGTTGTGATATTTTAAGTGTTACAAAAGGTAATGAGAAGATCTATGTGGGACAAATAAAAAGGACTAATGGAAGATCTATGTTAAAATATAAATAACTCTTTCTTGGGCCACAACCACAAGCTTGAGCTTTTAGTTGAATTGATGTTTCTTGAAATGATATCAGATCCTTGTTGACAAAGAGGTCACGGGTTCGAAACTCAGCGCCACCCCGCTTTAAGAAAATTAAAGTCTCACGTGCAAGACTCGAGAAGACTACGCCTGCACGTGAGGAGGCGTGTTAGATTATAAATAAATTTTCCTAAGCCACAACCACAAGCTTGAGCTTTTGGTTGAATTGGTTCCTTGACAATCTATGGGAGACGAAGGGAGTATAAAAATAATATACTTCTCCCGTTCTAAAAAACACTTGCTCTTTCATTTTTTCCACATCCAACAAAACACTTCCACTTTATATTAAAAAACCACTTTACCATTACTTTTTCATGCCCTACCTATCACATCATTAAAATTTTGTAAGAAAATATAAATTTTTACATTGAAAACAAGTAATAATAAAAGAAATATAATTATAATTTTATTTTTATAACATTACATTTCATACGAAAATATATTATTTTTGAAAATTTCTTACATTAGCAAGTCAGTCATGCCGGATTCGGTCAGGTTTGACCTATTATTAGCGGGTCATTTCGAGTGTATAATAGCGGGTCATTTCGAGTGTGGCCAACTTCGAATTCGGTCAAATAAAAATTTTGTTCAAAGCCCAATATTTTTGAGTTAAATCTCGGCTCNTATGGGGAAGGTTCCCATGACATTGGTTCCCAATGTCATGTGATGACCCGAGGGCGCTCCGGTGCCCCGTTCTTAAAATTGACGGTTCCTACCCCCTAACCCCCCGGGCAAACCCCCGCACCCCGCCCCGCCCCGAACAAACCCTCCCACCCCCTCCAATTGCACCCCACAAGTCGATTTTGACTTTGGAGTTTGGGGGGTAGGAACCGTCAATTTTACGAACGGAGCACCGGAGTGTCCCCAGGTCATCCCATGACATTGGGAACCAATGTCATGGGAACCAAAGTGTAAGAATATATATGACTTCTAATCTCTCTCTCTCTCAAACAAATCTTAACTATATGAGTATTTTTAACACCTAGGCTGTATTTTAATTCTATAAAAAACAATGGTAGATTCACAAATAAAATGCTCACAAAATTGACAAACTTACCATTTTTTTAAATCTCATTTGAAAATTATTTTAGACTACTTTATTTTTTTGTTGAAGTTCACAAATACTAAATTTGTAAGATTTGTGAGTATTTTGTTTATAGACAAAAAAAATTCTTCTATAAAAGTGAGTGTCAAGTTGACTTGTACCTTATCCCTAAATAAATTATAATATAATAAAACTAATTACATATTTAATATTTAAAACGTATATCAAAATTCTACAGATTAAATAAAAAGTGATCAAAATATTTTATTTTATGAATGATCAATAAAAACACATAAATAAATAAAAAAAATTCATGATTTTTAAATATTCCATAGTAAAAAGTGTAATTAGTGAGAGGACTAGAATGCATTTGGTAATAGAGTGATGATATATATGTACATGTGTCAAGGAGTGAGGATGCATGCAATACAAGTGTCTCTCAATATTATATTATTCTCCCTTTTTTTTTCAAATTATAACACTTATCTATCTTTTTTGCTTTCACTCTGCAAGCGATGCAACTAATTAACAAATTAAAGCTTACCCATGTCGCCGCCAGCTTACCCGCGAAGACCCGCTTCTGCTACACGGCGGCCGCCACCGCCACCGCCAACCGCCGCCGGTTACTTGACAGACTGGTTCTCCAAGTCCATCATTTCTCTGAATTCCCAGATCCTCTCCGCCTGCTCCTACGCCCTCCCGTCGCCGCGTTTCTCCCTCTTCTCTTTCCGTTATGAAACCGACCGGCAAGCATATACTCTCTCACTCATGTTTGACTTTTTTTCTGTCGAGTTTCACAAATTTAAATCCCTCCCTCACACAAAATTTTTCTTTTTTGATTTTTAAGGGATTTAAATGAATATATTTTGGTATTGACTTTCCAAAAATATCCTTGCGTGGGAAAGATAAAAGTAGATGTGATTGGTAAATTAGTAACAAAAAAAGTGTAGTGTGATAGATACGTTAAGAATTAGTAGAAATAAAAATGACTTTTTAATTGAAATGAAAAAAAGTTTTTTTTAGGACGAATGAAGAAAAGAGACTGGTCTTGTGGGACGGGCCAATTGAATATGTTGCATATTAATACAAATGATCGAAAAAATCTAGAGCTGGCAAATCGGTCGATCAGGTCGGGTTCGGGTTCGGTCACTTCAAGTTCGGGTTATTTCGGGTTCGGGTTGAGAACTCTATGTTCATAACCCAGTGTCATCGGGTTCGGGTCGACCCAACGGGTTATGACTTTGGTTATTTAAATTTTTAAATTCGCATTAATAAATTTAAAATATCAAAAAAAAGTATTAAATCTATAAAATTATTTTATTGTAAACTCTAAAGTAGTATTTAGATATAAAAATCAATATAAGGAATTTAAAAATGCTTATGTTTTGGGGAAAAAGTAAGATAATTATGCAATATCATTAAAATTTTGTCTGAAAATATAAATTTATACACTAAAAACGAG